GAAGTAATAACAACAATAGCAACAACTATAACAACAACAACAGCAACAAAGACACTCATATAGGATATAAAACCTAATACTCCACATTCACTAGAAGCCTCCACAGCACCTTATTACTCCCTACGCCCCTATAGAAGCGGGGGCTTAAAGGGCTAGACTAGTACCTTATGTATAGATTCCATATATAAACCTGATATAGGAGAAATAGGCAATAGAAAATAATCAAACGAGATATAACCAGCTTAACGAAACATAAGAGAGCGTGTTTATATAACTTACCTCAAGAGTCTCAGGAGCGCTGCTAGTCTTATAGTCAGATTTATCTGCAGCTATCATGCCAGTACAGCAGCTAACGCAGTAGAACTGCTGGACCTCCGGCCAGTAACGTATGTTCTTATCAATGTCGCGTCGGATATCGGCAGGTACCTTGTCGTCGGGCTCTGGATCAATGTCCATACCTCGGCCGTCGGAGTCTAACTCCGAGGCTGGCTCAGTAGCTATACCCTGAGGATGGTGAGGGATGTCCGGGGGCATCCGGTCGGGGATAGTTGATGGAGTTGACGTCTGCGTATCCATGATCGCCGAGTGGGGCAGGAGGTAGGCGTTAGGGAGTATAGGCTCTTAGTAGCTGCTACAGCTGGGTCCTGTCTAATAAGGTGACTTGGTTAGCAAGCACTAGCACCTCTTTCTCCCTATCCAGATACATATATATAGTATCTGATCAACGCGTCTTGTTAAGTTCCCATCCTGATCAGGGTCATACTAAGAGGGCCTGCACATGATACTAGGTAGACGAGTAGTAGGCAGTAGTGTATGGTCTGGGAGGCTGACATGCCACTGCTCAAAACAAGCATGATCGATATATCGGAATCCATACCTCATTCAAATAAAAAGGAAGATATTTAAAAAGCTTACTGCGTGAGATGATGAGAAAGTGCGAAAGCTTTCGGACTTTGATAAGAGAGTGAGAAGGAGGAAGAGAGTAGCTGAATAGTAGTGTCTAAAGTTGTTTTTCGTTTTCGAAGCTTGAGGAAAGTGTTATCTGCAGTAGACCTTTTCCTATGTAGGTGAGCTTGATGCGAAGACGATGTCAAGATTCGGTTCCTGGCTAGGACGCAGGCCCTTTAAATAGTCGTTCAGGGATCGCCTGGACCCAGGGCATCTCAATCATCCGAAGCAGACAGGTCAAGCGGTATACACAATCCAACGCATGACAAAGCGCGTCTGCGTTGCGTCCTCTGTCGCCCTGACTCCTAAAAATCGGTTCAGGAACCAGAACGCAACACGCACGGGGCAGCCACGTACTCGTACCTCAAGACATGAGGATCGCAACCGAAAACCGAAAATAAGAACGCCTGCATAAGGCCTAGCTGATCACATCACTTGAAGGACCCCTTTGCCGCCGAGTTTCCCCATCCCAGGGTTCCCTCATCATACCCCCTCATCATACCAAAGGGTTAGAATATAAGCCTTGCAGCCATCCATCCCTATAAGCCAGCAAGGTTAGGACACCCTGCCCAACAGAGCATGTAATTGGGCAGCTAGCCAAAAATAAGATTCACCACAACCTGGAAGCATGTGTAACTACAGTCTGGGAAGGATGATGGTGGTAGACAGGGACGTAGAGACTACATGACCTATATGGTCTCGGCCTAATGAAGAATGGGTTTTTACAACGCCGGGTTCTCATTCCTATAAAAAAGAAAAGAAGAAAAAAAAAAGAAGAAGAAGAAGAAAGAAAGAAAAAATACAAGAAAAAAGAAAAAAAAATACAAGAAAAAAAAAAAAATACAAGAAAATAAATATAGCATGATATCCTATCCTCATCCGTAAATTTGATCCACCCTCTCTACCTATCTCCTCTATATCGCCTCTAGTCAGTCGAGGTACCAGAGACATAATATCAGGGTTGGTCTCCGTTGATAATACGAGATAAAGGTAAAAGCCTGCACTGAATCACCCTTATAGGCCACCCTTTCCGGTAGCCCCCTCTTAGAGGCTCCTGCATACCTGCGCACCTTCCTCTTCTTCACTGAAAGCCATTTTAGTATACCCACAATAGCAGCCCTCCCTCCTCACGGCTAATATACTTCGTTCTACCTACGTCACCACGAGGGCCTTATACGTTGCTTTCTTAGAAGCTTCGCCTCTTTCCTACTCGGCAGGGTAACTATCCTAACTGTATGAAGAGGTGGACGCGTGAAGGCCTTCTCTATTCACCTCCCCTCCCGGACCAGAAACGAGGGCGAAGAAGGGAAATAACCGCGCCCCGTATCACGCGTCAAAAGCAGAACTTTCCAAGGGAATATATTGATACTATTAAACACCATATGTAACGCCTCTACTGTTCATCCCACTCTCGTAACTCCACTAGGTAGGAATGTGGCTATATATCCAGCGCCGAAAGTAGCCGCATTCTCCGCATTGTTCCACTATGTGGAAACGGAAGACAGAACAAGAGAAGTTAAAGGGAAAAGGAAAAGAAAGAGAAGTAAAAAAAGAACAGGGTGGCCGTGAGGTGGATAGGAACAGTGCCCCCAGGTACGGCGCCCTTAGCCGTTACTTTCATCACCCACATAGCTTATATGTAACGGTCAAACTGAATCAACCTACCTGTCTTATACACCCCTCTTCCCCGCGACCCATATACCCCCTACTGCTTGCACGGTTGCCCCACATTCAACCCCCCAAGGTGTTCCTCCATTATGGAACTCACCTTGCGCCACCCCTGAAAACATACGTAGGAATGAATAGGTATAAGCCGTCGAAAGCTGAACCCCGTTTAATGCATTATACCCCTCGATCCTCCGGGCCCCCACACACGCTAAGCATGCTACTATCAGAGCCTACAGTACCTCTTCCTAATATTCCTCTCCCCTAAAGGACCAAAGAGCCTGTGGTTATATCTCCCTTGTCAGAGGGCAGCAGTACTATGTATAGGTCGCCCTAGAATACCTGATCCCCGCACCACTCTGCTTGACCCTGTGTGTCGAAGGGCATGCGGTTATGCACACATGTATATAACTGGATACCTGGACGCCCCATTAAGCCTATCTCGGGGCTTCGGCATTACGAATATCCAGCTGTAGTTCACGCGTCCTGATTCGTTCTAGAAGTGGTGTCTTTGACAGCAAGCCTATCATATCTAAGCAGATTAGTACATAAAACCCTGCTACTAAACTTGGGTATTCTTAACTACCTACCCCTGCTCTATATACACTTTCTACACCATGTTGTTTGTGCGATAGCAGGCCTGTATCACCCGCCACATCCCACTCCCAACACCGGTTTATCCTTCTTAACTTCCCAACCGCATGGTTTTCCATTAGAATCACTTCTAGCCCCCTTCACCAGTAACAATTTTTACACTGGCTGGCGGCTAACCACCAGACCCCTCTACCCGCCTAGCTACGCGTCGCACCCATCGCCCGTGGCCCTCACGCCGTCCATAGCTGGCTGCAGCATCACCATCAATCACCATCAAGTGTCCGCCACCTACCCATATACTTTCCCTCACCTGATTCAACATACCTTACCTAGGTCCACCTCGCCATACAGGTATCTCCTAAACGGGTATCATTCTAGGCTCCTACCTATACATCCGCCACCCTTAGGTCCCCCCCACCACTCGTGGCCTGCTACCCACCCCTCCCACCTCTCACCTCCCACCTCCCACCTCCTACTACCTCCTACCTCCTACCTCCTACCTCCTACCTCCTACTACCTCTACTACCTCTCTGTTGTGAGACCAACAGAAGAACCATGTCTCCCGCGTCGCACCCTGTTAATGTACATCATCCAAGGCAGGCCCTGCGCAGGTCCACTGCCCAAGCCGCGCATGACGCACCCCTCCCAGATGACGGAGGAGACAGCCATAAGCTCCTGAGCGGGCAAGACCCACAGCCAGCCCGGCTCTTCAGCTCAACACTCTCCTCCCTGCCCGATTCTATCATCACATCGAAGCACAGGACGCCGGACATAGCCCCGTCAGCAGCCAAGGGAAGGCCGCAGGAGAGGTCACAAACCCCACCGCCCTCTGCCAGGTCCTCCCCCATAACCGTCTTCATCCCAGCCAGCGATGTGACGATGAACCTCGCTGGCGCGTGTTCAAGTCCATGCAGGCGGGAAACTACGATCGAATCCTCCGCCTCCCTGTATCGACAGGTATGGGATTCGCCAAGCTTCACCTCCAGACCGAAGAAGGTAGCGGGCTGGTCGAGCTGCTGCTCGACGTCGCCGACCCCCCAGTGTGTGTCCAGATGTGTACCTTCCACACGTCGAAGACCCTCGGCGTGTCCATCCTCAACATGCCGAAGCCCAACACCCAGACGCAGGAGGCCGTCGTCGTCAAGGCGAGCCCACGTCGCCGCGCCCCACGCGTGCCAGTGGAGCCTCACGCCAACTAAGGGCACCGCCCATACAGGCCGACATGGCTGATCCCTTCTCCACCAGCCCTCACCCGACCCCATCACATCATACTCCGCTGGCATATACGGAGAGGCGGGGGGTCACAGGCGACAGCTGGCTGACCAACCCAGCCCTCATCGCCAATTCCAAAGATGGGGTAGCCACACTCGTCAACTCCCCGGCGCCGTTTAGCTGTCCCGGAATGTACCTGCAGCGCTCATCCTCCACCACCATTGATATTGTTTTCCGCGGGGCCTAAGGTCTGGCTCGTCGTCAAACCCACGTCCAGCCGAAGGCTTGAGGACTGCGTAAGGGCTATCCTCTCCCGGCCGTCACAGGGACAGGGGAAAGGACAGGGCGAGCAGCAACAACAACAGCGACCTGCGCGTGGAAACCCTCCCGCCACACCTTGCTCGCAGTTCTTCCTCCACGACAGGATCTTCATCACAAAAGCCGTGCTCGACCGGTGGGAGGTGACGTATTGTATTTTCCGCTGCGTCGAGGGAGATGTCGCCGTTGTGCCCCCAGGCACCTACTTCTAAGTTTTTAACGCCGGACCCTGCCTGTCCCAGCTTGTCACCATTCCAGCCCCTATGTCAGACGCGGGCAGCCCGTATACAGGCGACCTCCGTCCCTGTGGTGATACCTGCGAGACCCTCCAACCGCCCGGGAGCGCGTGGCCCGACGATTCGGCCACCAGCACCGCTGGTGACAAAGCTGCCTCCTCAGACTGCGACCCGGCCGCGGGTCCCGGGCGGAAGAAGCTACCCGAGAGTCAGCCCCTGGACCACCGGGACGTCGTGGGCGGCTCGGGACCGAGCGCGGGGGGACCGGCAGATATCCCTGTCGTAAGGCGTGGCCTCCGGAGAGCCGTGCCGCATTCCCCGCCGTCTTCGGGTGACGACGCCGCGGATAGTCCCACACTCGGCGGGCGACCGGCCCACCATCATCATCACCATCATTATTATCATCGCACCCCCTCGCCCGGCACCATCACCGTGGTATAGCCACAAGCGACAGGGCATCTACGCTCCCACGTGAAGGACATCCAAGTGGGAGGACGTCAGCAGGCAAACGAGCCCGGGCCACCGATCCTCCTACCAACGACGACAACACACCAGCCAGCAGCAGCCAAGCCCGCGCCGCGGCCCAACATGCCAGTAAGCGGAGGTGCCCGACACATAACCCGATCCTAGTCTCACCGCAGACGACCACACGCCCGGGAGACCAGCCGGCCGCAACACGAGATAGGCCCCACGATGGGCAGAGCAAGAACCACGCTAGGGATGTCGTTAGTAGCGACGAGATAGATGACACGGATCATACAGACTATGGAGATGGTGGTGAGGATGTGGAGGACCTCGACTGCGACGTCTCCCGCCACGACACGCCAGATAACGTCGCAGAGATGTCCGAGGATTGCTCGGGGAACCGGGACGACGCCGACAACAAGAAACCCCCCTCCGGCGAGGCCAGGCCGCATACGTCCGAGCCGGCCTCGTCCGTGGACAAGGTCGAGGCCATTATAAGGTCCCTCGTCACCCGCGGCGTCGAACAGTGCGTGGCCCTCTTGCAGGCCTGGCGGGCCGCCGCGACGAGCTCGACGCTCCACCTCCCGCGATGCGAGAGCCGTGCCGTTCTCTACCGCAACACCCAGCAGGCCAAGTGCCACGAAGCCCTCGCCAGGTACCAAACGAGGCTCGCCTATATCCAGCTGAGCAGGCGACTCAAGAAGCCGGGACCCGACAGCGCCGCCGTGTACCGGAGCCGCAGCGACATCCACAGCCTCACCTGCGAGGTGCTCGGCGTCGACCCCTCCTCCGCCGATACCAAGTCGAGGGCGTTCTATCTACAAAGGGCCGACATCAGCCGTTGCCTCTACACTGGCCGCATCTTAGATATTGTCTCCGGCGATGGTCTTGACTTCCTCCCCGTCCTCCCCGCCGGCAAGCTCGGCCTCACCCTGTCAGACTCGCAGGACCTGGCTCGCCGGCTTGTCAGCCTCGCGTCCGGGGAGGCTGAGGACGACGAAGGTAACACCATTAAGCAGCTGGCCGCCTTCGGCCGGTTGTTCGCGAGAGTCGTCCAAGGCGAACAGGCGGATCCCCTGTTCGGGCTCGACGTCGAGCCCGTCGCCCGCCTGGCGTCGGCAGCGGAGACGCCCCGGCCGCCGAGACCTACGTCTGGCCCTGAGCGTATCGCCGCGCACACATGGGGACTGGGAGATAAGCTTCGGGCGTCCATCGGCAGGCTGACCGGCGCCGGGCAGGACGTCTCCCTCCTGCGCGTGGGCGGATGCGCCGTCTGCACCCATCGCCACGGCCCTAACCCACTACAGTGGCGCGAATGTGCCTTCTAACAGCATATAGACCTCCCCCACCCCTTTGTCCGTATCACCTACACGGGGACTCCGGCGTCGATGGTGCCGAGGCTGCAGGCCGTCCGTCACCCCGACGTTCCCGTGCTAGGACCTTTAGGAAGCACCTCCTCACACCACCAATCCTGACCAGGTCAGCATCACAGCGGGAGATATTGTGAGCGTCGTCCCTGGCGAGCTTATCCTAGATAGCTCCTCTGCTGCCTCCGAGCTCACGCCCGCTAGTCGCTGGCGTGATATTAGGGATGAGGTACGGGTAGCACCCGGCGTGGCCCTTCGCATCGACAGGGCTAACCCTTTCCTTCAGATGCTACTGGCGCCGCCTACCGGTTCCCAGTCCTCTGAGCTAGAAGCCAAGGTCTTAGCTGTTAGTGCCATAAGCGTACTGGTTCTAGTTGCGGTGTCTGATGTTAAGAATAGCGATACCCTCTGTCTTAGATGAAGGATTAACAGAAACGGCTGTAAATATAACTTAGCCTTACCTAAATAAATGTTATTAGTTACCCTTGCCTGCCTCCCCCCCCCCCCCCCCCCCCCCCCCCCCCCCCCCCCCCCCCCCCCCCCCCCCCCCCCCCCCCACCCCCTCTACACACACACACACACAAACACACACACAACACACACACACACGCACACACCCCTTCATTTCCTCTTCTGCATCAGTATAGAAACCACCGGCCTCACCGACGCAGGCATCGTTTCCTGCATTCGCTGGTGAATAGCTATTGCATCCGGCATAGAAACGCTAGTAACGGCATCAAGCATTCTAACGTACGCCTGACAGACTGTTACCATGCTCTTATAGAAGAGCGAACCACCTGCAGTATAGTCATTCCAGCCGTTCATGTCCGCGAGGTCTTCTGCAACGGCCAGTAGTTCCATCACCTCCTCGCGTGCTCTAGGATCCAAGGGCGTGCCTGGCGGCCCTCGGACCTGAGGCCATCCCGAAGTAATGTCGGCTGTAGCTAAAGCGGCCATCCTCGTAAAGATACAGGCCATGGGCAGCGGTTCGTCGGCGGCGACGGTCCTCATCGCGCCTGGGCCCCCTTGTCCAATAACCAGCGGACGCGATTTTTAATATGGGCAGCCGGCATTGGGCTGACGTCGCCAATGACGAAGCAGAGAGCCATGGTGCCGCAAGACACGAACGCGCGATCTAGAAAAGGTTTCTGCGCGTCCCTCCCGAGCAGACCGAGTTCCTGGTCGAAGGTGTGGAACTGACGTCGGGCCCGGACGGGCGTAAGGCCTCTAAGTCGTCTTCCCGCACATCTGTGTTCTGTAGCGCGTAGAAGTATGTTGTCCACAGCTCAGAGTCAACATCGCCATGTCCTAGGCTTACTCTGAACATATAGCGGGTGCTGCGGATCCACGATCGCAGAAGCAGTCTCACCGCCGCAAGCAGCTTCGATCGCATATTCGTCGGCATATACCCTTTCTTCAGTAAAGAGAAAGCCGTCTTTAATACCGGGGCACTCCCTCTCCCGGTCCGTCCCGTCGCCCGCGCGGCCCGCGCTCCATCATGCCACGCGAGGCCGGCGCTATGAAGCAGGGAGTAAGCGGCATCCTCTTCGCCGTGAAGCAGCGCCCAATCCAGTGGGGTCCGGCACTCCGCGAGGGGGCCGGACATCGCCGAAAGGTCACGCGACTGACCTCCTCTGGGGTCCGCCCCAAGCCGCAGCAGGACGGCACGGCCGGGAACCGACCTCATCTAACGCAGCGTAGCATAGTGGCGTACGATGCCAGCTATCCATCTCATTCACCGACAGCCCGACGTCCCGCACGAGATGCTCCATCATATCCACAGACCACGCTCGGCCGCTGTGTGCAGGGCCGTTGCCCCGTAACAGATCTCAACACAAGCACCGCCCGGGGCTCGCCGCGCTGCCATGTCTACCAGCACCTCCGCAGCAGTTGCCGCCGGGGGCTCCTGGGTGCCTCGCCCATCTTTGCTCTCGTCGTGGGTCCTCCGGGACGACGTTACGCGGGTTAGCCCCGCTGACAGGAGGAGCTCGCGACCG